TGATGTGAGTCAAAGTCAAAGTCAAACCTGAATGCCCGAAGGCGGCCCCTTTAGAGCTCAGGAAATCAAGTACGCGGCTAGATACTGTACATACCAACGGTCATGCATGTTCTGTGCTAGGGAAAATGTATACGCTACAAATGTGTGCCTCTCATAACCGGCAAAAAGCATCAAAGTTGAAGAAATCGTCTCGCCACGAAGATCGAGCAGCTTCTTGGGTCCAATGGCCCCGCACCTGCCATGTGCAAAAAGCAACCAGCTTTTCATCCCACATCATTTTCGCACGGCCGGGTTTTGCACGGCTAGGGAGATCCCACTGCAAAACACGTTTGACCCAGCGATGGCTTGGTAGTAATGCAATGTATGAAGCAAGTCGCCAGTAATGACGCAAGCACTGTGTTGACCATGTTTCGATGCCAAAGCGTTCACAACAGTGTCGGACGCGCTCATTCCATGAATGTAAAATTTGGTGCCATGGCAAACTCCAATCAACTCCACCAGGTGGCCCAACTAAACGTCGCAACAAGCGGCGGAATTCGACATCCATCTTGTGTAAATGCTGTGTGTGCACTGCACGATGTCCAGAAGGAAAGCATGCCACAGGCGATACCACAGCTTGGAAATACTCCAAACGATGCGCCAACGAGACGTTCTTGTCGCATAATACCCATTTATGTTTCCAAAATGCTTTGGAAGCATGTTGCAAATGGAAATCCAAGTCTGCTTTCACTGCGTCCGACGTCGCCGTGGACAACATACACCCAAGCCATTTGTGGCACCCTTCCCGCGCTAAGACTTCTATCGGTTCTGCTCCAGGAATAATCAGGTGTGAAGGTGGTTGTGCTTCAGTCGTCAACACCTTCGTCTTGCTCGCGTTTAAGAGTAAACCAACTTGCTGAAGATCCCGCACCAAACTTTGTAGCAAGGTTATGGCCTCGTGCGCTGATTTTGCAAATAAAAGGATGTCATCGGCAAACCGGAGGTCGAGTAAGTTCGCCAGGCCATCATGCAAAGCCCAGCCAGCATTGAAATTTTGGCGTCTCCATTTGCGCATTGCGTGTTTTTGTAGAACACTGCAAAATAACTTGGGGCTCAACACGCAGCCTTGTCGAACACCCGCTTGAATATTGAAATCTTTGCTGTGCCCAGACTGCCCAATCACCTCACCCTGTTGATCAGAATATAGGCAATGTATGATCCAACGCAAGTGTGCTGAAACCCCCTGGTCAGCAAGAACTTCCCATAACATGTCCCAGTTAACCCGGTCGAATGCTTTGGATAAGTCAGGGCTGACAATCCACACTGGCAGATTTGCTGCGTCCGTTTTGTCCACCACATAACGCGCCGTGAGAAGGTGCTCCTCAATGCGGCGATGCTTTCGAAAACCATGTTGTTCTTCAGGCCGTGCAGTGTCCAACGTATTCTCGATCCGTGCTAGAACCATGTATGCGAAAAGTTTGTACAGAACTCGAACATTTGCGATTGGACGGAAGTCAGTGGTGCTTTTGGCACGCGACGACTTAGGTAACATTCTAAACAATGTGCGGCACCATGTGCGTGGTACGTCGCCAGATTGTAAAACATGATTGTACAATTGCAGCAGGCAAGACATAAAACCATCGGAGCTGTAATGCACTAGCTCTGCAATGACTCCAACTTCATCGCACGCTTTGTCGAACTTCATCTGCTGGATTGCCTGCTTCGCTTCATCAAGTGTAAAAGGAACTTCTTCCAACATACGTGGTTTCGTAGGAGCACGAGGGCCACTGGTAAACAAACTTTCCAGCATATCCGCAAAATCATTTGCAACAGGTTGATCGGGAGATGCCGTGACGAAGTTTTTGATGGTAGCTGGCTTTTTCCACTCACCAAGCACGAACTTCTTGCCGATGAAGCTTGCGAATAGCGAAGCTTAGACGTCGACGTTCATCAGCGTCATTCTGGAAGCCCGTCGACAACGCCGCATTTGTCGGAGATGAGCGGAATCACGAAACTTTTCGCAGGATGGACGTGAACAACCGGTGGTGAACGCAGCATCCAACAATGCGCGCTCGGCAGCGTCAAAGGATTGGATTCCTTCGTCCTGGATTTTAGCGTCCAACTTGCGATGTGACCATGATCTGACACCCTGGCATTGCACGCGTCCCTTAGACAACTGTATTCCAACAAAACGTGATGCGATTTGGCTGTGTCGCTGTATGTGCACCGGAGGGTGTGGTCTCCCAATATCAACTCGCGGTACCAGCTCCACGATCGGTACGCGCACTTCGTGGGTTTTTTATGGTTTTTGCCTGCCGAAGATTATCAAGCGCATGCTTCTCTACCGCACACCCGGCATGGGCTGCGTGCCTCCAGAAGAGCTGCGCCGGCGAGAAAAGGCTATTCTGGAAGGGCAATGGGTCGAGTCGAAGCCGCTTCCGCGGCGCAACCGCAAACGCACACACAGGGCCGCGCTACCACCAGGAGGACGACCCAAAGCGCCGAGCCGAGCGAGTCGCTGCCTTATATAGCTGGCGCGCACGCTCGCGCAGCAGTTCCACGAAGAGTTCCAGCGCGCCTGCGCACCGTTCCATTACGCCATCAGCATCCACGGGGAGCGACCCACGGACCACACTTCGTGAGCAAGAGGCCGTCCCAGACTACACCGTCAGGACCTTCCCACCGGGGGTCTCAGTGCTGTGCTGCAACCGCCTCGCTGCCATGCCTGATGCCGGCGGCGGCGTCGAATTTGTGGAATTGGCGCACCGCAACATGCAGTGGGCGCCGGTGCCCATCCGCAACGACCGTGGCATTGCAGCGTGGCGCCTGTGCTGGCTACTGTATGCCCCCGCTGTGCCAGCACGGCGGAGTTGCACGAATTGCAAGTACCCGACGAGGCTGGCAATCCTTGCGCACATTGCGGCAACATCATCACATGGGTAGTCGACCGCCAAATACGAACCGCCCATAGTGTGTACGGTTGCATGTCCGGCGGCACAGCCGCGCCAAGCGCCCACGCCAATCCCTCCAGTGGATCAGCCACACGCGCCACCCTGGTTTCAGTCGACTGGCATCGCCGTGGCCCACCATCCAAGACGGAAGGCCCCACTAATTCTTGGCTGAACGTGCCCCTTCTTCATGCGGCAGCGGGTGACCTTCGGCAAGCCCCTACCAAGGAGTGCCGCCATGACCCCCGTGCCGCACCGTGGTGGCGCCATCTCGCAACTTCGGCGCCAGTTAGCTTACCGACGCTCGCGGAGAGCATGCGGTTCGCAGCGGAGCACCATCCTGCCCCTGCCAGTTGCCTCGAACACGCAGGCCTGCCTCCAGGCACATTGGTTCATCTGGGATGGGCCTCCTATCTCGGAGCCCAGGACAAGAAGCCAGGGTATGTGCAGTGCTTGCATTGCTTGCGTCGCTCCGCGACCTTCAGCGTGGCGCCGTCCACCTCCACGGTGCATGGATGCGGGTGACCCGTTCTTGTAAGGGGGGACACCAGTGTTGCGTCGCAGCATGTCGCAGCACAGCGTTACTCCGTTGGCCGTTGGTGGTGGCCCCGTAAACGACAAGGTCAACGTGGCAGCGGTCGTCCGGCGGAACGCCTGCTGCGGTCGTGTGGGCGAGCCATTAGTTATTGCTGCGGCACAACCTGACCTTCGGCTCCGACGGCCTTTCACGCCACGCGGACCCAAGCACGCTCGCCGACTTTGGCACGTCTGGCCAACAAGCCTGTCCTCGGGCAAGCATGGTCTCCGTAAGGGCCCATGGCGCCCTCGCAGCCTGGGTTGGGGCCGAAGCTTTTAGATCTGAGCAGCGACGTGTCGCTGTGATGCGCGCTGTTGCGCAGCCCTGGGCAAGTGGTGCCAGCTTTGGCCACAGTGCTTGGTGTCACGCAGCATTCAACATCGCAAGTTCGAGTGAGGGAGCAACCGCACATACCGCATCGACGGCAAGGACAGTTGCTAGCAGGTCGAGCTCCGTGGTGGCACGCAACCCACGGGCAAAACAGCAGGTTCTACCCTGCCTCCTCCTGTACCTTTGTTGCCCTTAGCATTACGTTTACGCGACTCGCACGGGCTCAAGTCCCCGTGACCAGAGAGGCTTCACCAGGGTTGATTTAGTGGCTAGTGCCTGTAGCCCTGTAGCTAGCTCTTGTGACGTTGGTCCCCAACAGCGGAACAAGCAACACAGCAGATCAACGTGTTTGTCAACAGCTGGACCTTGGAGCACGCAACCGAAGAGGAAGATTTGTTGGCAGCCCGGTGTTGTGTTGGCGAGGTTGTCTAGGTGCAGGTTCCAGCGACGACGAACTGATGCCTATTTGCGATGGACCGGGAGGCATTTCAACGACTTGGCCGGGTTTCTCAACGACACAATCGGAACGGCTTGCCAACGTCGACAACACGCTCTGCATCAAGAAAGCTTGTGGTTCCAAACCACCGGTTCCGCATTCACGTTGACAGGGTATGTTATCATGCTCCGTCAACGTGGTGGCCTGAGACGCGTGTGGCAAGCTGCCGTCATTGAGCTATACCGCGCAAGAGGCATCAAGAATGCTCTGGGGCAGGCGCAGCCCAGTCCGCACACACACCGCCCTCCATTTGAGCCCCCAGCCTCTCCCCTTGACGACATTGAAATTTCTTTAGTCGCAAGCAACGGCCTACACGCCAAAACGTGCTGCCAAGTCATGCACCAAAAGCCACGCCACAGTTACCAAACTTGTGCAAAGTGGAGCAACTTGCCCGTTTGCGGACTGCACGCAAGATGTGGGAGCGGGGCTGGTGCTGGTGGGAATCTCTGCAAGCAACGTTCCGCGTCTTGGAATCGCTAACACCGGAAGTGCCTTCCAAAGAATGCTGCCGGTGTTGGATACCCTAACACGATGGCTACGATGCTTTCACCACGCAAGAGCCAGCAAACGACCCTTGCACAAGCGTCATCGACCAACATCTACACTCTGGCTATATGTTGTGTTGCATTCATGTGTTTTTGTTGTAAGCTCCATCAATTCAAGTCCAGACCTGCCAGCGCTGGTTGGCCAACGTGAAGGAAATGCCTTCAACCGGAACCTCAAGTGAGAGATCGTCATGTCTGAATCTATGCCGAGGCATTTGCAGTGCATCAGGCAAGGCCTGCGCGAGAACTTCCAAGATATACGATGCGAAAACATGGCGTCACATGAGCGAGAACAGAGCGAGTGCACTAAAGCAGCTAAATGCTTTCTCGTGCACGAAGCATGTTGAACATGCTTGCAAATATCCGCATTAATAACAAATAGACAACGTGATCGTCCGATGTTCTTCTTGCCTTCGCACATATTTTGATGGTTGTGATGCTTCTTTGGCATGCATCGGCTACTTCCATGCGTTCGGTGCTTCTTTCGAGACTTCTTTTCGACGCTTTCGAACCTGATCTCCGGATCCGCCGAACACAAACAACGATTAGCAATAATCTCGCGAGCTTGTTGGTCTCAATTTCTCACAAAGAACTTGCAAGATCCTCTGGAGTATCCTAGGAGGCAAGATCTTCAACACACCGCATACGAAGCTTCATTGAGCTCGCGGATCTTCGTCACATCCCGCTTTGCTTCACCTTTTCGTAAAATAACGACGAAACTAGTTCATGACTGCACTTGAAAAGTCTTGACGTCTTCAGCTGAGCTCTGCCACGCTGGTCGTAGGCTCGCTAGTTCACTAGCTCTGTACTCTACGTTGGACTGCACATCTGCGACTAGGCTTCCGAGGCAGCCAACGAAGCAACTGCTTGACTCCAAGCAGGCTGTTCAAGAATCAAGAAGGTGTGTGCACGTCTTCAACACAGCACTCAAATCACAAGGAACAATTTATGCGGGATTGCATGCGACACTCAGTCGCCCCGTACTCACTCAATGAGATGTTCTTTTGGAATCCATCACATTTGGCGATGCTGTCATGACGCATTCACCTTCGCTTGCATTTCTCCACGTACTCGGGACGAACATGACTGCACACAACGTATTCGCACAAAATGAGGCGACCGACAAGCAACATTTTGGGGTCGAAAAAAAAGTTATCTGAGTTGTCAGACTTCTGTCGAAGGACGCGTCTGCATGAACTGCAAGATTAGAAGGCAATTCAAAAGCAATTCAAAAAACAAAGGTTGAGAGGGAACCAAAGTCCGCAATGGAAAAAGCCACACGCAAACATGTTTGCTCTTTTTCTCGGAAGAAGCAAAAAGCAAGAACCGTTGGTTCAACTGGGCTTGCACTGCTCGATCACTGAACATAGGTCTTTCTTTTCATACTGTTGCATCTGTTATGGCCGGGGCCAAGTGGGCTAGCCGAGGGCAGAAAGTGAAACCCTGTCTTGTGCTGGCCAATACCTGAGCTCTAAGGAGAGCCAAAGAGGTCTAGGCAGATCCTCAGTGGCTGAGGATGGGCGCCTCAAGTCGATAGGGCTGGGCTAAATTGAGGCAGGACCCAGCAGAGGCTGCTGAGGTCAAGGCAACTGGGAGGTCCGACCTGCACGCGGGGTGGGGTGAGTTGCTAGAGCACACGGGGTTTCCCGATGATTCCTTAGTGCGTGAGGTGCGCCAAGGGATCGAAGTCGTAGGCGCGTCAGCTTCATGGTCACCTGTGTTCAGGAGGGGCTACAGTGCTCCAGAGATGACCGAAACCCAGTGGCAGGCACAGGCAGTGTGGAGACGTAAGGCCGCGATAGCAGCCTGCAAACAAGGCGACGACCCAGAGCTGGCGGATTCTTTGTGGCAGCAAACCTTGGACGAAACCCAGGCGGGCTGGATCAAGGGACCGTTTATGTCCGAGGATGATGTTTCAGCTGAGCTGGGTGTTGCCGACTGGGTTTGCACCAAAAGGTTCGCTATTCGCCAAAACGACAAAATCAGAGTGATTGACAATGCTAAAGCCTCTGGGATGAATGGAGCTGTCTCAACGTACAACAAACTCCAACTGATGGATGCTGACACGTTGATCTCCTTGATCTTGCTGATAGCCAGGTGTGCGTTTGCGAGTTCGCAATCGAAAGTCGTCTTGTCGACTGGAGAGGTGGTCACATGCACTCCACATTCTTCTTGGAAGAACGACTTGCACTTGGTGGGCAGGACGCTTGATCTTGCGGCGGCTTACAAGCAGATGGGTATGAACCCATCCAGGCCACAGGTGAGACCGTTAGTGGTGTGGTCGCCGGAACACCAGCGACCGGTGTTCTTTGTGGCCACGTCACTGATGTTCGGCACTACTGCCAGCGTCTACTCCTTCAACAGAGCCGCCTTGTCGCTTTGGCATCTAGCCATCACGCTTGGGAAGCTGTGGATCACCTGTTACTTTGATGATTTCCCAGGCGTCGATCCTAGTACCACGTCGAAGTCAGGCCGCGCTTTCTTGGAAGGGCTACTGCAGTCCCTAGGATGGCGCTTCGCCAGTGAAGGCAACAAGGCGCAACCGCATGCTCCGGTGTTTAATGCTTTGGGGGTGACCCTTGACTTAACCTCGGTGCATCAAGGTGTGCTAACTGTGTACAACAAGTCAGAAAGAAAGAAAGAGCTGATGCGTCAAATCAGCGAGGTGCTAGACAGAGGTCATTTGACTTCTGCGGAGGCGGCAGCACTGCACGGCCGCCTCAACTTTGCGCAAGGGCAGCTGTTTGGATGCGTTCTCAAACCTGCCATGGCTTTCTTGAGTAAATGGGCCGATGCACCGTGTACTTCGCCTGAAGACCTTGCTAAGGTGATGACGTACTTGGCAGCGGCGATTTCGCGGTCGCCACCGAGAACACTGAGAGTGAGCGACAC